GTCAGCCCACAACTGCATGAAACACCCGGAGATGCGTGCAGTCATATGTTGTGCATACTCTACAATGTACTAGGTATTATATATTGAAAACTATATAGGCAAGAGCATCAACGTCGGGAGCATTGTGGACGGGGTGCCGTTCCAGACATGGTCCTGGACGGAGGACACTGGGTTTAGGGTTTAGGATTTACGGTTCTGGTCTTACTTCCGCGTCTTTTACAACCAGTCCCTCAAATCCTGAACCAATAATGTTCCAGAAGCCCACCTGCATAGCAATTTAGTGTCGTGCGGGTCCCAGATGTAACCGCCATAGAACTCTACAGGGTTTGGGACGCTGGTTCAAGGGGACCTACACAACTTGTCCGAGACACGGACATTTTGGCCATTCCGACATGACCCGAATTGACAAATTTCTTAAATTGCATTGTAGGGCTGCTCGTTTACGGGAATATGCTGAGATTCTGTAAATGCTCGGAGGGATCCATGAGGAGCATTCCCTTAATGGAAATGATCAAAGCCTAAACCCGAAACTGAGTAATTTAGTAGGTCTCCTGAAGTATTCCTTACGAGCACAGTCTCGGGACCCTTTATGTTCAATGGTTTGGGTTTAGAATGTAGGTTAAGAGTCCGAGGTTTAGGATGGGTTTAGGGTTCAGAGTCTTGGTGTGATGTGGGCCCATGGTAGTCCCTTCTCTTAGGTTTGGGGTTTAGAGGCGCAGTCTACCGTGCGAATATTGAGGGTTTAGGGTTTAGGGTTTCCCCTAAACCCCCAAAAACCGTGAATATTTAGGATTTAGGGCTTAGGGTTAGAAGGGACCATTTGGACCGCTTCCGGAAGGAGGCTCAGCGCGTTGCCGAGGCTCTCCTGATCGTGAAGAACGGGGCTTGATACTTGGGGTTGAGGGTTTTAAGGGTCTGGGAAGGTTTAGTGTTTGGGTTTTGTTGTGATCATTAATACCCTAAACCCTAACCCCGTGGGTAGAGATACTTGTGATGTTGAGTTCAATCGTGGCTTTAATGTGCTTGATAGCTGCCGCAGGGGGTTTAACAGGAGTCTCGGAGGGGTTTGTGCGGGTTTCGGGCTTTAGGGTTTAGGGTATTGTAGCATACTTTCGCAGCTTGTCTCATGCGGAGCTCGTGGCAAAGTTGCCTCGACCGTCCCACGCAGGAGCAGGAAGGGTGTTCAGGTGCTTCTGTTTGGGCCCTAGCGCCAGTGCTTTCGGATTTGGGAGTCGGCGTTGGGCCCTCCTCTAAATTCAGATTTTCTACGGAGGTTCGGAGTTGGAGAAGCCCCTAGCCCGAAGCTCGCTCAAGCCGTCTGACGCGACGCATTAGAAGGTAGGTTAGAATACGGTCCGGGTTACATGTTAATTACTATATGTACAGGGACAGCACAAGCCGATTCTTTCGATTTTTTCAGACCCCTGCATTACGTTAGTAGTGTTTGGCTATCGTTGTGGGGGTAGGATGGGCTGGTGACTGGTGCCGATTAAAATTTACTATTACAGTAGATCAAGGCAGTCTAAAGTACGGATTGCCGAAAAGATGCAGAAAGATCTGGTGCAAGAGTAGCATCCCTGAGCAAGCCTAGCACTACGTGCCTACGCACTAAGCCCTACATCTCACATGCCCAGTCCCGAACCGACTAGGGTTTAGGGGTTTAGGGTTTAGCCATCAACAAACATAACAACAGAGAGGAACCAACAGCAAGTCGAAGCACAAATGAAACACATCTAACACCAGGACTTGCAACCTGAAGCTCACAGCCTAGCCCAGCGTCAGGGTGGTGAAGTGCAGCCCACCCCGGTGAAAGCGCCGATGCCGAAAGGGAAGGGCAAAGGCAAAGCTGGAGTTCAGGGAGAGTTTTGTGTTAGGCTCTCCGGTGCAATTTCTCTGTTTTCTCCCAGTGGTTGTAGGATTCGGGCATTTCAGCATCCGAGATTGGTTCATTGGATTTCGCTCCGAGGGTGCAGTGCCGAGTGTTCCTTGATCTGGATGTGCCCCTCCCTGACTTGGCCTTGTGCTGTTAGGGTTTAGTTTTGGGTTTAGTTTAGGGTTTAGGGAGTTTAGGGTCTCTGCACGCATGGGACAGCTTCCAAACACCTGCCCTCAGTTCAGGTTTCATCAACGAAAAACGTAAAGGGAGGGCCACCCTCGTCGAGACAACGCTTTCAGGTTTCTGCACCCCAAAGACTCAGAAACATGGGGGCGGTAGGGTTTCGGGTGTCATGTCGACCCCTGCAGCCTCAAGAGTTCGATGTGTTCCCTCCCTTCATAAGCAAGATGTATCGTAATCCGAAATGCTAAAGTCCTGCAAAAGAGCCAGGGTGGTTAATCAGGGGCGGGCTTGCATCAATGGTAGCTCTCTAAGAGTGGCTCTAAAGGTGTTTGCACCTTCGTCCTGCTTAGCCCTGCTTCGGTTGAATGTACTGCCCATCCCTTGAGTAGTGCCATCCCTCACACGATGACTCCCCTAAACCCTAAACCGACGATGACTCCTCCTCTAAGCCCTAAACCCTGAACCGACGATGACTCCCCTAAACCCAGAACCAAGTTCAGGCTAGCTTTTGACCATAGGGTTTCTGTTCAGGTGCGGTAGACCCGGGCGGGTGTGAGGGGAGGGGTTTCAATAAGTGGCCCCAGTAAGGGAGAGGGCGTGCATTCGGTTTTTAAGTGCAGCCTAGGGGCCCAATGCGCCGAGACGAGTACTTTCGACTGGGGTGTGGAGTATCCTTCTGATGCTTTCTGAGTCATGTTTCAGGGGGCTTCTCGAGGTTTCAGAGAGCTCTAGTAACTCTAGTAGTACATCTTCAGACATAAGGACTTGTCTTCAGGTTCGTGGCTCTTCACAGACTATGTAGCATGGCAGATTCTACAAAGACTCTGAAAGGTTCTTAGGCCCTGAACCTTCAGGCTGAGCCCTAAACCAAAACCTTATAGCACGGTCGTCCGAAGGTGGGAAAGGTCGTGGGGCGAATGCCGGTGACAAGGGCAAGGGAGGAAAGAAGGGCGACAAGGACTGCTTCTGGTGGTTCTTACATTACATATTGTAGGGTTTAGGGTTCACGGGGTGGGGCGTGGTGGTGAAGCCGGGCGCTGGTCCTATTTGAAGTCGTGCATTCTCTTCTGTGGGCGGTCCGGGCGGTGGGGATGATCGCAGAAGTCTGAGCTGCGAGTGGGATGCCTAGTTCTTTGGGAAGAAAAACCCTGCATGTCTGGGACCACTGGGCGCAGATTGCCAGATTTGGTAGCGATTCGGGATTGTTGTTTCAGGTGGTTCGTTGTAACTTGACCGTCTCATCGACAAGACGGAACCTCCAATAGACAGAGTTTTGGAGACCGACCCATGTGGTGTGTTTGAGCACTGTGCTTTGTTGATGTCTCATGATGTTTGTCGCTAGTACGGCACCCACTGAGTTCGAGCTCTTCCAAGCAATCTGCTACGTCATGTTGCTGACTGCTCAATTGCAGAATTATAGTTCCGTAGTAAGTTGCACGATGCTGTGACACACTGTTGTAAGTATGGTGTGCGTTACATCATAGCACATTTTGCGGTTCTGGCCGGACGATGCTGCACTGCTCCCATTTCTGGGGCTGCTGCTGTCAACAACAATTTACACATATTTGTCATACTAAGTAGCAATCATCCCGGTCCTAATCCCTGCCGATACTATATTCTTATACTGTGATGCAACCCTGTTCGGATCGTCCAATCCCTCCTCATATTCATTCAGATCTAATCGGCTGCATGATCGTGTGGTTTTCTTTCGCACTGATTGTCTCGATGTGAAAGAACAAGTTCAGGGACCGACCAGCATAATTCTGCACGGCGCTCGTGAACCTTTTATCTTGTTCTGTTTTTGGGTTTGTTTGTTGACTGATACGGCGACTAATTCATGTCTTGAGGGGGCTCCGTAGTAGAGTTGTGGTAAAGCAACCTCCAAGACCCTTGCCCAATTAATTAATAGTAGAACAGCTTCCAGACGTTTGTGCAATTATTGAGGCTTCCCTACATGCACGTATATATAAATATACATATGCATATAGATACGTGTGTGTATATATATATATTATGTATACATGTGTGTGTATGTATGTGTATATGTATATATATATATGTGTGTGTGTGTGTTTTTGTACATATGTCTTAAGCCCTGCGCTCAGGCCTTCAAGCAAGCTAAGCTTCGATCGGGCAAACCCTAGGCCATGAGACTGCCTTGCCCTAAACCCTAGCTGCTTAGCTGCCAGCCCCCTAAACCCTAAACCCTAAACTGATGTTGAAGCGTGAGCCTGATGCCACGTGGCAGGGCAAATCGAAGAACGCGGCCCCGCCTGCTCCTCCACCTCCCTTTCCGGCTGCCTCCGGCTGGCTGCTGGGTGAAATTCGAAACATAGGCTACTACAAGTGTCTTAATGGTTGGAAGAGGGTTCTTTTGAAGGATCCCGTAAGAGTTCTATCAGTTAGGATAGGGTGTGCCCGTTTTGGGAATAGTACACCACCACCCACCATAGCCCAATATATTAGTCCAAATATTATTCCCAATATATGTATATCTCAAGCCCAAATACCAAATTCACAAAACGGGCAAGGTCATCCTTATTCAATTTATGGGGAACAGTATGGCTTGGTTCTTTCGTTGTGCCCGGCATGCCTGAACAATGACGAGTACGACAGCATGCAATGGTCATGCTGACCTGTTTATGTCAGTTGCGTGCGCAGGGATCACTGCAGACTACAGCATGACATGCACATTCTCCCTGGATGTGCTAGTGCACCATTGTATTTCTGGAAATCCAGCAACCTATTTATGGAGTGTTTAGTTTCCGCAACCGTGCTGTTTACAGGCTCATCCAGCCTTCGAGATTGTAGCAGTACCTGCTCCGAGCATATGACGGATCAACTTGAAGTTGATGTTCTGGCTTTTCTTGGGGAGAAGATTGGATACGGTGAAGAGATTGATATTAAATTAAGACCTAAAAAGGACGACGAGATTGAAAAGGTCATTCGAGTGCGTGCCAGTTTACTTCTCGATGCCTCTGATGTTTTCAGAAGGAACTTCATCCGCAACATAAAGGACAACGACGAGAAGTGCATCACATTGATCGAAAAGGCGGAGGAATTCGAGACAATTCGTCCATTTCTCAACCCTGAAAACCCGGCGGACATCTCATCTTACAACGTTGACATGTTCTTCCGCTGGTCTGACGAATACATGATCCTCAAACTGCAACGCGAGGTTGTGCAATTTTTGAAGACAGGGCGGGTTAGATCCACAAATGACCTCCTGCTGGCCAGGTGAGTGCAGCATATGTGGGCATCTTCAGAAAGTGGGACCCTTGATGCCTCAGATGTGAGCAACATCATTGGCAAGCTTTTTTGTAATGAGAATGTTCGCGACTGGAAGGCTTGCTATGCAGATGAGGAGCTCAAGGAGGCAATCATTAAGATGACTATGAAACTATGTGATGGCTTTTGTCGCGCTGACAGATGCTTCCAGAGACCACTATTTCCCTCCGCCTACTGCCTTTAAAAGGCAGTAGGCAGAGAGAAATAGTGGCCCCTGTGAGCATCTGTCAGCGCGATTGCGATTGCTGTCAAATGCCAAGGCGGTAGGCATGAGGAACTCGAACAAATCTCTCTGCAGACTTGCTCGGCAAAGCCTGCAAAATCTGCATTGGCCTGCAGCCTGAAAGCCTGTGATCATTTGTTGTCAAGTCGCGCATGCATAGGCGAAGCCCTTTCCGATACATTTCTCATGAAGGGCTTTGTCAGCTGTGGGACATCCGGATAAGTGCATTGGAACGGTTTGCATGGCAAGCTGATGCTTGGATCTGTTGCCGATTTCAACCATTGCAGGTTGTGTAGACTCAGCTTATGTTGAATGTGCGATCTGCATCAACTGACGCAGCCACTATACTGCATGTGTTCGAACAGCCATAGGGCTTGAGGCAGATCCTCTACGGTTGGTGTAAGTAGGCTCTACAGCAGTCCCCTTCCCAACTATCGGAAATGTCTAGGCCTGTTCACCCTTGCCTGATGCCCAAATGCCCGACGTATGATACATGGGACAGGTTAGGTCGCAATAAACTGTGCAACGCGAATTCGGCGTGACAAATGTGGAGCTGATGCGCATTGTGCAGTGCCTGCAATGTCTCCCACGTCGATTCTCGTAACCCCTGAAGACCAAACCCAAACCCGCGCGTGGCAGGTGAACGGCTTGGAGAATGGCATTGCCGACAGCGGCAAACAGATATGGGTCGGGCCTTGAGGGCTTAGGGCCTAGGGTCTAGATTGCAGCTCGAGGCAGGGTACCCGCAACGCTTTGCGACGATAACCAGCCCTACCATCCAATGGATTTCGGATTGCAAAAAACCATATCCCGAGCATCCAGACATAAACGGCAGCAAATACAAAGAAGGATAAACAAGCAGGTTCACTACCCAAGATATGGCTCAGAAAGGGTTTCAAGCAACAGGAAAGGTTGACATGTATACATCGTTGTTCAGCTTGGGTGGCGTAGCAAATCGTAGTCAGGTATATGTATTACATCGTTATGACAGTAGTAAGTCAAATAGACAAAATACGAGAATATATAAAGAAATGACAGATAAAGGAAGAGACAACTTCTACATAGAATTAATAGAAGATTACCGTTGTGAAAATATTTATCAATTGAGAAAGAAGGTGAATTTATTAGAGAATACAACCGTCATTAAATATCAACATGCCTTCAAGAACAAATAAAGAATACAGACAAGAAGAAGCAGTAAAACTCAAACAGATAAAACCCAAAAGTAATGTTAAATACCGTGTGAAACATTTAGAAAGGATTAATCAACAAAAACGAGAGTATTGCGAGAAAAAGCAAAGAACAAATTAAAATACAAAAACATATCGTGAAGCAAACGCAGAAAAAACTTAAACAAAAGAAAAAGGAATACATTGAAAAACATGCCGAGCAAATCAAACAGAAGAAAAAATATTACTATTCAAAGAAGAAGGCAGAAAAGCAAAACATCCAAATCAATGAAAACATATTTATATTATGATATGACAGGGCACTATGCCATCTTGGAAGAAGGACAAGAGTGACAAGAAAATACCCCCCTGACAGCGTCCCCATTTTCTCACTTGAATGAACTCGTGAAAGGGAAGTAACGAGATACATTCATATAATTGGTGTTACATAAGATAGTGCCGAGAATTAGTAGAACTGTTATTATAAAAGTTTTACTATAAAGACTTAATCTTTGTATAAGTATATAGGTGATAAACCTGAGTTCAAGCAAAATGTCATACTGAGACTAGAGAGGATTGAGACAATATTAAATGAAACGTTTGCAAGAAGCTTTAACAAAACACCAGCTGACGCAACGTATGAAAACAAAAGGAATGCATGCTTGACTAAATTGAAAAACGAAGACATTTTACAACCCAAACCTACTACCCTTGATTATTACAAGATAAAGTATGACGCAGAGACGAAAACTTATTCATAATATTATCATCCAATAACAATGAGTGCATTAGATGATAATATTGTTGTTGATTTTGATACTGGTAGAGATCTAAAACCAAGATACATACAATCTAAACAATGTAAATCATGTAAACGAATAAAATGTGTAGATGAGTTTGTAAGCAAACATTCCAAAATAATATACAATAAGATTTGTAGGGCTTGTCTGGAAGTTTGTAGAAAATCTAGGCTTAAAGGGAAGGAATGATCACAGGGAGGTTTCTTATGGAAGCGTTCTCAGGAAAAGCACGTAAAGAAATACCGACTTAATATATTATAGCATGGAAAGGTTCAATTTCAATTTCAAGTGTGAATATTATACCAGTTCCAAAAAAAAGAAGAGAAGTAATATTAAATCAGTTATGTATTTGATGAAAATGTTACTAACAACATCTTGTCATATACAACTTGCTACCACTGTCATAAAAGCATGGGTATGATAAAGGATGATATTATACAAATGGACCAATACTACCCAATTATAAAAGTGTAGAACATAGACAAATTCATTGCAAAATTACATCATTTTGACAATGGATACAAGAAACTAACAAATTTATAAGATAAGAAGAACTAATTGAAGGACATGATAGATAAATCAGAATGTGAACGAAAACCATTATATAAAAAGTTCCTAAATGATACAAAGAACATAAAACTGATTGATGAATATAGAATGTTTTGGTTGTTGGATTATAATATCTACTATCTTTATGATAAACGGGACTTTGAAGGAGAGATTTGTAAATATAGGAACCAATATGAAGAAAATACAAGCAATATTATGGTTGAATTCTTTTTTCACTACTTTAAAAGTCAAGTAGGTCTTTTACAAAATATTTTAGTTTAGAAGATATACTTGAATATTTATGGGATATATTTGGAGAAGAGGGTTAAACATAAAAAAATAGATAAGCAACCAGAATATTATTAATCATATAATATCATCCTTGAAACCCACCGCCAGTTTAAAAATACAAATACATTAGTATTGAACTATGGAAACCAATTCTTAAGAAGCACACTTAAAGAAATAACAACTTAATATATACAGTGTTAAAATGAGTGAAATAAATTGTTGCAGTATGTGTCAGCGTCATCCCAAGATTGAAAAGTTTGAAGAAGGGTAAAAAAAAACATGCATTGCTTGTAGAGCAAAAGCTAAAAGGTTTCGTGACAGGAAACAAGCAGAAGATACACCTACATTCCAAGAAATAGAACAAATTGAAAGACAATATTGCAGCGGTTGTCAAATCATGCAGAATCTTGTAAAGTTTGACGAAGGATATAAAGCATGTATTGTATGTAGAGAGAAAAAGTTAAGGCTGTATCAAAAGGACCCAGAGAAAAACAAAAAACATAACGAAAGAACAAACACTTACAAAACAAACAACCCGGAAAAAAAGTAAGGGAATGGAGACAAAACCGAATGAGCAGAATCAAGGACTAAATATTTACTTGCCCAATTTGTAATTACGACATCAAGAAGTACAAACTGAAACATCATGAACAATCACTGGGCTTTAGCTATTAAACTAGGGTTCCGGGTATACTACTTGACTCTATACTCTTACATATATATATATATACACGCATATATATATATGTACGCATATATAATATGGTACTATATGGGGACAACAAAGTGTCAATAACGCACATTCTCAAGATCTCTCTCCTAGAGGCTTCGGATTTTCGGATTCGGGGGGCGTGACCAGCCATGTGCAGAGTCACACGTAAACAGTTGTAGCCATGATGGAAAAGAAAGAGAAGGAGTTCGCTTAGGAAGCAGTTTCCTCTATTGACTGAGTTGCACGCATTTCAGGTTTAGACAGGCTGTTTCCGACTCCGTCCTTGGCCTCCCGGCCCCAGATGACCTCCTAACCCTGCACTCACCAAGCCCAAGCATCCGAATGCAGGGGTCAGAAATAAGTCACGAATAGTTTTCCCTCGTATTTCGTATAGTCTTGAGTCTTGACATCAATGTACTTGTAAATACCCCGAACCTGCTTCAAGTGTGATATAGCCTCACTTTGACTGTTGAGGCCCGGAAAAAAAGAAACCTAAAATGCAGAGTTCTAAGGACCAAAGGATACGGCTGGGAGGAGCCATGGTCTTATGCAGAGCCTTGGAACTGGGGCCACTCAGCTGCAGGGACTTTCAGGTCTCGGGATGCGGTCTGTAAGTCATTGGGGCTTTGGGTTTTGAGGTTTTGGGGTTCAGAGTTTAGGTTTCTCTGGCTTTCAGGGTCACGGGTTTAGGTTTTCTCGTTGGATGCGGTTGAACTTGTTTGGGTCTACAGTTTGAATATGACTCTCTGGTTCCGAACATAGAAAACCTGAGTAGTTACCAAATGCTACCAGTATTGTTCCTTAGCGTTCTGATATATAGTTATACTGTTATACTACACGATATGTCAAGGCCCTGCTCCAATGATTAAGCCCTTATATTGAACTGTCTTTTGTGTTCTGCCTTTCTGGGAACCTTCTGGCTTCTTCCGGGCGCTCTGTCGGGAGCTGCGGCTTGAGTCGGGGAGTTGCCAACGAAGGCCCAAACCCTACGTAGTCGTTAAGCCCTTAAAGATAATATAGAGGCTTAAATAATTACCAATACTATTTTGGGGGTTCCTTATTACAATTATAGTATGATACCCTAAAAGCCTTTAGATTGGGATCTAGGTTCATCCCAGCAGCTTCGCAGCATGTTCCACACTCAGCGCAAGCAATGCTCCCAAAATGCCGGAACGCTCAAAGCAATACCCTTGGGTTGGGGTTGGGGGT